TTCTGATTTTGTAAAAAATTTTAATTAAGTTTAATAAAGATAAGAGCAAGGTCTCACCATTAACATCAAAAAAAAAATATATATATATTTTATTAGTAGTAAATATAGCATATATTACACATATAGCATATATAGTCCATTATATTTGTAAAAAACAAAAATGTATAAAAGCAGCAAATGTGGACTCTAAGTTTAACATCAAGTCTTCATACTTTTTCAATAATAAAAACCTTTATTTATTATATAAAATAAACAATTACTAGTATCTTCATATACTTTTAATTATAGTCTCTTTTGTAATTACAAATTGCAAAAAATCTTCTTTGTTAAGTTTTATTAAAAAACACTTCCTGACTTAGTTATATTACAGTAACAAGTAAGTTTATACAAAGTTTTACTGGCTAAAGTCGCTCTAGTTACTGACTATCTTTAAAGAAGTAGATAATAGATAACAAATTGGTAGTAATTGTGAGATACTTTCTCCACCCATACTGTATTTTGAAAAAGAAATCTTGATCATGTAACTATTATTGTGAAACAAGTCTAAGAGAATTAATTATTAGAATATAGTAAACCCAAACTAAAGTAATACTTAAATGCCTAAGAAAGGTATTGTGACTCTAGAAATATCTAAATATATTGAAAGTACTCTTGCTTGAAAAGCTCTTTTTTTACAAGAAGTATCTTGAGTGAAAGTTAGATAAACTAGTTGAATCTTCTGAACAATTAGACAGAACAATTGTCTTCTTGTTAAACACCCTCAGACTGGCTGATTTATACTACACCTAATTGAAATAAACTCAAGCTTTTGAGTAATTAAAATTTTATTTTATTTTATTTTTTTTTTTCAGTATTAAGGTGACCTCTATAGCCGAGGGCTTTTTATTAGATAATTAACAACGTTTACAATTATGATGAGGGTACAACTAGCTACACGTACAACTTTTGGTTGTCTATTTAAGTAGTTCATCTGAGTTCTACACTAGCTGCCATACCTGCAATATAACTAAGAGATTATCTATTTAAGCTCTTTGGCTTTTTACAAGTAAGAGTACGACTAGCTATACTTGCAACTTTTGGTTGCCTATTTAAGTAGTCTGCCCAAGGTTCTACACTAGCTGCCATACCTGCAACCCAACTAGAGGATTGCCTATTTAAACTCTCTTATCACAACTGGCCCGTTATTTCTTATCTAATTTTATAACACCTATAGATTTCACACCCTACCTAGAACTAATTTATCCTCAAGGTAAACCTAACAGAGTGGTACATGTCCCACACATGTATTTACCTGCATGTTCGGTAACTTCTTCCTAATCTAGTACCTGTTGTATTGCCGCTACCAGGTTCACGTCTCAAGCTATCTTTTAGAATACTGCTATAACCTGATCTGTATCTCAAACTGCAACCTTCCTATTTTAGTAATTGTTATGTACTCCTGCTCTTGTATTTGGGTTCGCACAACTCCAGCACCCATATTCGAACTTTTTTTCTTTCCTGGATTCTTTATCGGTCTCTCCCTTACTTCTAGCCAGCAACCCGGAAGGGTTGGTTCACCTAGACTTTAGGTGTCTATATGGTCTTCTTTCTATTGGTACATGCTTCCAAAGCACATGTCCTTTTTCTCTAGTTTTGGCAGCCCAGCGGTTCAGCTAGTATATCTCCCCACTTAAGGATCTGGTTGCTTGGTTCTTCGATTTCAGTTCTCAGTTCCAAATTTGGTCTTTGTAAGTACTGTCAAAGATTGTACTATCTCCCAACTCTGGACTTGCCAAATGGGTTTCAATTCTTTTGGTATCTCGAATTTATTATGCCAAAGCTCCTATTCTAGATGGTATAACTAAGATTACAGATTTCTAGATTCTACTGATCATTGAATAGCCGTTAACCGTATCACAGGGCTATTTTTTGAAAATGTCATCCATGGGAGTCGAACTCTAGACCTGCCGTCTGGGGGTGCGTCAACTCTACTACTTTACTAAGTTACCACACCTGTAATTTATTTTCTTTTTTTAATATTCATATTATTATTATTATTATTATTATTATTATTATTTTATACAATTTAATTATCAAGGATATGTACAGAAATTAGTAATACACTATCAAGAACACTATATTGGAGCTTTCTTAAGTCAAACTGATGATTCTTGTGAGATTTGCTACCCTATAACTACTACTGTTCCTAAAAATTTCTTAAACTTTTATTATTGGTACTGTGCCCAATATCCAGCTAGTGATTTTTTTAGAAAATCCTTAGAATACTTTTATCAAATATCCCAAATTTATACTTAATTTAATCTACCTCAATTTAAAAATACCATATTCAAATTTATTTTTAGTTTTAGATATTTCTCTTTCTCTAGTAATCTTACTGATATTATTCGTAGTATATCTAGCTTAACTGTATTTACTAGTTGCTTTTATAAGGACCCTTTTTCTTTAACAGATTCAGATTTTAATGATTATTGTTTTTACAAAAACTTTGAAGATTATAGTAACTTTCTTCAAAACTATTTTATCTTAATACCTATTAATACATCACAATCTATTTCTATTTTACTACCTGCTCTATTATTTAATACAATAGCTAATGCTGATAACATTTTGGATTACTTGAGAAAATATGAGAAAGAAGGCTTGCTAATGAGAATCAAACTATTCAAAGGAGATGGAACCCAAGATTTTTTTACCTAGTTAGAAGATTTTGACAAAGCCGCTTAAGCCAATAAGTAGAATTTTGCTAGAAAAAAGGATATCTTTGCTGCTTTTTTGAGAGATAATGCAGAAGATTGAACTACTACTATTAATAATTATTACAGGTTGAAATAAAAAATATCACTCAAATATCATCTAAAAATCATCTATAGCAATAGCATACCAATATGTTATTGGATATAAGCTGATTGATAGAGTATAAAAAAAGGTAATATGCTAAAGATTTTGGTGAAATATATTATATATCAGTCTGGTGTATAAAAAAAAAATTCAAATATTAGTAAGAAAATTTATAAAAGATAATAAACAGATATTTTTAAAAAATATTAATAATAATTTAATGATTAGATATATTATAAGCCAATATTGTGTTAGCTATTTAATAAAAAATTTTTATCTATTTGTATAATATAATACTGATATTTTAGATATTTTCTGAAGATTAATATATTATTAAAATATCAGTTTAATGCTTGTAGAATGATACAATAAATGATTTTGGTCAATAACTTAAAGATTTTTAGTAATTGTAAGAAGATATTATATTGGCTATTTAATAAAAAAAGGTGATATGCTAAATATTTTGGTAAAATATATTATATATTGGCCTGGTATATAAAAAAAATATCAAAATATTAGTAAGAAGATTTATAAAAGATAATAGACAGATATTTTTTTTAAAAAATATTAAAGATAATTTAATAATTAGATATATTATAAGCCAATATTGTATTAGTTATTTAATAAAAAATTTTTATCTATTTGTATAATATAATACCGATATTTTAGATATTTTCTAAAAATTAATATATTATTAAAATATTGGCTTAATATTGTAGGATGATATAATAAATGATTTTGGTCAATAACTTAAAGATTTTCAATAATTGTGAATAGAGATTCAATCCGGATAAATCTATCATCTATTTATTCATATCTGAGTTATCCGGATAATTCCAGATAGGCCAAATATCTGAATAATCTGGATAATCTAATGGATATTTGGATAATTATTCAGATACCAATAGTAAATAGATATCTGGATAAATTTTGGATGGGTGTGGATAGCGGATATCCGGATAATGGATAATGGATTGAAACTCTAATTGTGAGAAGATATTATATTAGCTATTTAATAAAAAAGGTGATATGCTAAAGATTTTGGTGAAATATGTTACTGATAATATAAGTTGCTTTTATATATGAGTAATGCATCGGCCTACCAATAATATAAAAATTTTAGATAATATATAGCTGTTTAAACTAATAAATTAAGTTACTTTTATATGTGAATAATATATTGGCCTACTAATAATATAAAATTTTTAGATGATATATTACTGTTTAAACCTATTATTAGCCAATATTTATGTTATATTTTCTGATTTTATATTTTTTAAACATATCATTTTTTAAATTTATTAAAAATAAAATAAAATAATAATAATATTTAAATTATTATCTTTTTCTTCTTTTTGTTATTTTATCATCACCCTTTTCTACCGCCTTACCTTTTTCTACTCTTTTTCTCTTTCTTTTTTTACTTTCTTGCTTTTTTTTTATTCTTGCTCTTATAACTTCACCCTCTTCTTCAGCTTTATTTCCACTATCACCACCTTCATTATTATTACCTTCATCATCCCCACTCTCTTCAACACCACTCTTATTACTCTTATCCTCCTTAATACCAGGTTCATTTTCTGGAGTTGTAATTCTAGAGGTTGCTCTCTACTACCTTTTGAAACAAATGCTTCTGTTGCTCCTGTTGCTCTTGTTGCTTTTGTTGCTTTTGTCACTTTTGTTGCTGCTATTGCTGCTGTTGATATTGATATTAATGCTGCTGTTGATGTTAATGTTGATACTATTTGTCTTTTTAGTGTAGCCGCCAATGATGATAATGCTGTTATGAGACTTGGAAAGGTGAATTCACTACTTCTTTGTGCTTCCATTGTTAATTTTAAATACAAAGTACTACTGCCATATTTTCTACTTTGTTTCATTCTCGAACCATTCTTATTTTCAGCATCATAGATGCTAGCATGACTTCTTTTTCTTCCTAAACCACCAGATTGTTTCTCACTCTCGGCTTTCCAGGTATGCCTTCTTTTTCTTTTTTTATTTTTTTTTGTTCTTTTCTTTTTTTTCGTGGGTCTTCTGTACTATCAGAAAAATTAGTATCAAACCCAGAATTCAGTATATTGTATCTTCTTCAGGCCTCATCAGATAGCACACAGCTTGGGCAATCTGGTGGTAGTACACATTCAGAATCCATATAATTTCATAGTGGCACTCATGTATTTGTTTATTTTTCAGTTGAAGGCATTTCACATATGAGTCTATTCATTTATAGAATAGCTACTTTAACTAGATAATATATTAAACATATAAGAAATATCATTATTAATATACATTAACTCAAATTATAGGATTAAATTACTGGTATTATACTTATATATAGTCCACGCCACTATTTGTTAATACAAACCAACTTCTTTACTCTATCTTCTCCTATTGCTTCTTCATCTGTAACCCATTCTTCGGCCAAATGGTACCCATTACCACCCTTGCTCCTTATTAATAGCTCCAAATCGTCTCATAAATATTATCTTATTCTCTCATTCTCTGACTTAATCAAAAATGCTAGCCCTTTATACCTTCTTTTCCTCTTCTAATTATTTTATAAAAAAACAATAATAAAAAAATAATAGTTTATATATAATTTATATAAGAACAAAATTTTATATTATTCTTATCTCATTCAACTTGCTATTTCTCCCAACTTGGACATGATTGTAAGCCTTTAACGTACTATCTGTATTTATTACTGCCATATATCTTTGTGTCTTGTAGTGTTGTTTTAAAATTTTTTCAATTATATCCAAGTGTTGCTGGTATCCAGGCAACTTCTTGGTAATCGCTAGTATTAATTTTTTTTAATGTCATTTCTCTGTAATTTCCAAGTTTTTTCTAGATTTGGTTTTTGCAATAATAGCTACCCCTCTCAACTAATACCTTAATTTCATCCTATAAAACAAAAAAAAAAGATAAAAAAAGACAAAAAAAAAGAGAAGAATTATAATATATTTACCTAAAAATAGGACTATTATTTATTAGTTAATAGGATTGGTGGCCTGCAACTAGATGAACTACTGCTTTCTTCATTGCTACTTCGATTACTGCTTATTGGACTGTTAACTATGCTAGACCTTTCACTTCTTTCACTTTCATCTTCACTACTAGCAGTACTTGTACTACTAGAACTTGAGCTTGGAGTTACTATGGCCTTTTTCTTTCTCTTGCCTTGGATGGTGGCGATTGCAGTTGCAATCGCTATAAAGATCACTTCACATTCACTAAAAATATAAAGTTTATAATTAATTATAAATTACTATATCAGCCTATCGTAAATCTTACATTTTTGTTTTTTTTGCTTTTTTGACTTCTTCTTAGCTATTTTGCTACTTTTGGCTTTAGGAAGTTTTTTTTCTTTACTCATTATATACAAGAGAAATAGAGAAACAAGTAAGATAGAGAAACAAAAGAGAAAAAAATAAGAGAGATAGATAAATGAAAGAGAAAGAAAATGTGAGAGAAAAATAAGAGAGAATTAATATATATATATATATATATATATGTATAAAATATTATTTTGATATTGAATTGAAAATGATGACAAAAAATTCTTGGAAAAGATACTATCCTTTTTATAATTTTGATAGGCTATATAATATTAATATACTATATTAATATCATTATAATATTATTAATTAAATAAATGATTGCATTAAAATAATATACCTTTTCATATACCTTTTGCTTAAACAATATACAATTGACTTGATTGTCACATAATTATCTATGATGTAGTATTATCTTCAGCCTAGAATAAAAATTGATTATAAATATTATATTACTATCAATGTAATATTGGAGATTAAATAAATGATTACCTTAAAATAATTTACCTTTTGCTTAAATAATATGCTATTGACTTAGTACTTAAACAAAAATCAGACAATATAAAAATTATATTAATATTTTTATAATATTAATAATTAAATATTTGATTATATTAAAAATAATTTACCTTTTGGCCAAAACGATATGCTATCAAACTGAAGCATTCAAATAATTTACTTTTTAATTAAATGATATACTATCAAATTGAAGTATTCAAATAATATATATATATATATATATATTTTTTTTTATTAATATAATGTCATAGTAGAAACTTTATTACAATAAACCTATATTAATCTAGAGATTAATAGTCCT